CAGGCACATCAGTGACATTGAGGGGTGACTCTCTGGGTTTTGGGCAAAACTCTATGGTTTAAGGGCGATTTTACCATAGAGTTTTGCCCCAAACCCAGAGCATCGCCCTGACCAATGTTCCCTCTAAGTTGTGGAGTCTTGTGAGCAAAAATTCTACTTTGTGAGATACTGGCATTAAAGTTGTGAGCATGCGATTTTGGCTACTGCGTAAATTAGTTTGCTCTGGAGCCATCCTTCCCGAGCTAAGACACAAATGTGTGAGCTGGAGGCTAAAAAACTGTGAGCTAGCTCACACTAACTCAGTTTAGAGGGAACACTGGCCTCGACGTGTCTATGTCACTTACCAAAGATTGAATAGGCTTCTGTTTGTGTATATCAACATTACGTACTGGGTTTCTGGTTCTTGGAAACTGAAGTGTCAGATACAGACCTCTATCACCCAAACACAGCATTTTCTCAGCAGGATCAAGCTGAACAGCTTCAGATAAAGGGCTAGCAGCTGCTACAAGAGCACTTTCCGGTATGGCTCCACATTTTTTTAAAGTCATCTATGATTCTGCAAGTTCTACCAGCAAGGATCTGAGCTTGGTCAATCAACTCAGATGCCTCTTAGATCCTTTGAATGGAAGAGGTAGAGGAGGGCAGAATGGAAGAAGGGATTGTTGTTTTATAGTGTGTATTATTCACCCCATTTTCTTTACGTGTGCTGTTTCCAAAACCTGTATGCCTAGACGCAATAGTGGGATGATAGAAATGCTTTTATTTATTTGCTTTATTTATACCCCCCCTTTCTACCCAGTGGGGACCCAAGTCACCTAATATCTTTCGCCTCTCCTCCATTTAATACTCACAACAATCCTTTGAGGAAGATTAGAATCAGATTGTGGGATTGGCCTAAGGTCACCCAGTGAGCCGCTATGGCAGGCTGGGGATTTGAACCCGAGTCTTCTACATCTTCATCCAACACTGTACCATACTGGCTCAGGCTCTCAATGTGTGTATGCTTCATGGAAATAATGTTCCTTCAGATTTTCTTAAAAGTTATTGTCTTGGGGTACTATGAACAAAATGTTTTTACCAAACTGCTGACCAACGTACAGATCAGAAGCATAGGTGCCTGCTGCCTGCTTGTCAGAGTAGCTAAAGGATGTTTTTTTTAATGCCAAACTATTAAAATCTTGACTGAGCCGTATCTTTCGTACACAGGCAGTTAATGGCCTTATGCTACAGTCTCCAAAGATTAATGCCTGGCTTTGTGCCAAGTGCTGACTCAGTGCCCAGACAGCCAAGAGCTTGGCTTCTAGACCTTGCCAGATGACCACCAGTACACAGGGGCAAGGACAGTTCTCACACTACCAAACTGACAAAAAATAAATAAAAAGCCCCAAAGTCAGATTGTAAAAGCAAAGTGAATCTGGCAGATCTAGCATCAGGAATACAATTTTCCAAACAGGTAGGGGCAAAGCAGGGCTATTTTGGGGCAGGAACACACAGGAACGGAGTTCCGGCTGGCTCCCAAGTTGACCATGCCCAGCAGGAACTCATTAGCATAATAGGCCACACCCAACAGCAGAAACTCATTAGGATTGGCTACAATTAGGGGTGTGTGGCCTAACATGCAAAGGAGTTCCTGCTACAAAAAAAAAGTCCTGGGTTTTATCAACAAACAAGGTAAAGAGAATAAGAAGCAAAAGGTGGGTGTGGCTGGATGACCACACTTCTGGTAACATGGGTATGTGGCCTAATATGCGAATGAGCTGTGCTCTCCGGGGTGTGGCCTAATATGCTAATGAGTTCCTGCTGTTGGGTATGGCCTATTATGCTAATGAGTTCCTGCTGGGCTTTTTCTACAAAAAGAGCCCGGGGCAAAGTATTGTTAATGCTTAGAACTGCCACAATTTGCTGACAAATAAATGGATGGGGAATGCTTTTCAACCACTTAGTAAGCTGGTTTCTTGTTTTACTCTGCTGGTTTCTTAGTCCTTTAAATTAATCGTGTGTTTTAGCTTCTGTTTTTGCTCTTAGACGTTTGTTTTTATTGTTTTCACATTTTTGGTATGAGACTATTTTGTTTGTAATCTACCAGAAGCCGGAGCACAGATCTCAGAAATAAAGACTTTCCCCTCAGAATCGCTCAGATTCAAGCAGGAACCTCAAAATTTGCCTGAAAATTCTGCTTTGGGAAAAAAAAGAACCGATGGCGAATTTAGGACCAAACTACACATTACTCTTTACATGACATCACCACAGGGACTTGCCACCTTACAGATGTGGTATAGTGGTTAGAGTGTCAGACTAGGACTTGGCAGACCCAAGTTCAAATCCTCACTCTGCCACAGAAGCTTGCTGGGTGACTTTGGGCTCAGTCTAACCTACTTTACAAGGTTGTTGTGAAGGTCAAGTGGAAAATGGGAGACTGTTGTAAGCCACTTTGGTTCCACATTGGGGAGAAAAGAAATAAATACTGCAGCTACATGTCCCCAGTAGCAGCTGCTGTGGTAAAGCAAAGCAGGGACATGATTCAGATCAGGACTACAGCACAGGAGAATGTATAGATCTTCTCTCCCCCACCCATGCACCAGTTTTGGCAGCCAAAACAGCCTAGGGAACCCAACGGGAGGCATAGTTTGTTCCAACAGGGAGCCACACTGTACTAAATGCTTGCCCATGCAGCCCTTCAACGGGGCAAATACCTCCCCACAGTACCTAGGGTGTTAGGAAAGAACCCTTCCTCCTAATCTGAATCAGGCCCCTGCTGCATTTTTACATAGGTGTTGCCACTGGGAACTTACGGTTGCAATACAGTCCCCACTGGCAGCTCACATGAAGCATAATGTATATTTTTGCCCTTAGCCTATGCCTAAAACCCTGCTCTGCCTGCCATTTATCCCCCCATAAATAAACAGATATAACAAGAACACTACAATTATCTTTTCATGAGAAGGAACCATGCCCGCAAAAAAATTGTCCAAAAACTTCCTGTGGGATCTAGGCAATACCAAAGTGGGAACACACTTCTAAATCCTTTTCTTTGTCCATAAAACAATGGTCATTTAATCCCGAAAGAGGCTCTCCATTCTTTTTTAACAAAAAATTGCCAGAGACAGAGCCCTGAAGCAATAGGTCATTGCAACATCAGCTTCTGACTAATTTGTCTTGAGACTGGGTGAACGTTTACCATACAGGACAAGTGTGCTTCTGTTCAACACAGCCCTTGCCAACAATATAGATTCTGTCGGACTCAGACATTTTGAATTACTGCGAACAATGTGCTTCTTTTTTTAAAAAAAATCATACATGCTTAGGTCTGCATTTTTCTTAAATTGCCTTATTAAAGAAACAGGCATGTGCCTCAGGCTTTGTTGTCGTAAACATTTTCCTAGTTCTCATTTTAAGGCTTTAATTTTAGAAATCTCACTATGGTCTTGCTATGGGAGATACTGTTGTTATTCTTTACTTCAGCCACAGCACAGTGAGAAACAGGGGCAAGACAGAATGTCATCGCTCACTGCTCACCTCAGACACAAATTCAATACACAAACCACTGTTCCTTCATTCTCTACTTGCTCCTCTACAAGAAGGAGGGAACACTGGCCTACCACACAGGACCGTTACATACAAAAGTCAAAGAAAGGCTAAAAATTGGGATGGATTCTATGACTCCCTTCCATCATGCCCCTCTCCAAAAAGAGAACAAATTCCATCAGCAAAGGAAGATTTTTCTCCATCAGAAAAAAAACATTCTCCATCAGAGGAAGTTGTTTGCCCCGGAAGGAAGATTTGGCAGACGAGAATCATAGCATCCAGTTTAGCAGTTTAGTCATAAAATCCAACCCCTTAAAGTTTTGAATCCTTTCCTTTTCTGACCAGCATTCCCTGTCTTTCTCATATGTATATATGCTTCTTAAAGCCATTTTCTTTTCCATTAAAGTTTTTAAGTCTTTCCTCTTCTGACCTTCATTCTCTGTGTATTTGTCACACACATACACTTCTTAAAACCATTTCCTTTACATACAAATTAAAAGGTCACACTTTCATCATACCCTTGATTGAAACTGGTAACTTCACTGGGAACTCCTACGCGTGGTATGTTCAAATTATGAAAGAATTGCATTGGCTTGGACTGCAAGAAGATCAAATCAGTCAATCCTAAAAGAAATCAACCCTGACTGTTCCCTGGAAGGCCAGATAATGAAACTGAAGCTCAAATACTTTGGCCACCAAATGGAGAAGACCCTGATGCTGGGAAAGATTGAAGGTCAAAGAAGATGGGGACGGCAAAGGATGAGACAATTAGACAGTGTCATCGATGCAACGAACATGAAATTGAGCCAATTTCAGAGGATGGCGGAAGACAGGAGGGCCTGGCGGGAGCTGGTCCATGGGGTCACGAAGAGTCAGACTCGACTGTGCGACTGAACAACAACTGGTTAGTTTATGAGTCCAATTCAAGGTACTAATATTGACCTTCAAAGCCTTAAAATAATCTGGAACCAGGGCATCAAGGTACAATCACCTTCTCTTGTACCAGCCAACTCATATTCAAAGATTTTCTGCAAGAACTTGGTTCTATGTTCAGTGATGCACGGAGTGAGGACATGAAATGTCATTTTCTATGGCAGCCCTCAGTATTTGACACTCCCTGTCAAAAATTTATTCTTTCAGCAGGTATTTGGGCAGTGCTTGATATTTAATACCCTCTGACTGTATCCAGGATTCCCCCCCCTGACTTCTCCTGTTTTTTTAAAGATTTATTTAGAGATTTTGATTTCTTGATTTTGTTTGCAATCTGTTAAATTTTAGGTATTGCTATAAATGACTTTATTGCTCACTGCCTCAAAAAAAAGTTGTGTTGAAATGTTAAAATTTTTTAAGAAATGATTTAAATTGATTTAAGCATAACGTATTCCTTTTTTCCTGCTTTCTATGGTTTTTGAAACAACATGGACACTCTCAGCAAGATGTACCTCAACACCCTTTTAAAAAACTTCTTCATTTACCTGACACAGAGTTCCCAGCTTTCTGCAGTTTCCCCACTAGCTTCTGTGCATCTTTAATGCTGGTGTCTTTCTGGCTGTACAGCAGCAACCGTTTGGCATCTGAGAACAACCGGTAAACACTAAGGAAACCAGAGAGATGATTGGAAAGACAAAAAAGAAAGAGAGGGAAATGTTTTAGCCAGATGGACTGCATACCCCATAATTCTGCTTTTTGTAACAAGGACAAAAGATTCCTCCGTGGAAAAGTTCTCCTGCACAAGTGACATTGAAGAGTGTGGGAAGTACGGAGGAGAAATCACCCTGCCAGCTCTCACTCATTTCAGTAAAGCATGTGAAGGATTGTACACCATGTTAACCTAGTGGGAAGAGGCACCATCTGGAATTTCCAGCCAGCAAAATTTGTTAGAATGGTCAGAGCTGCCAAAAACATGGGTGGAGCAATTATTGTAGCTTTTGAGTAAATCTTCACAGGCAGAAATACTGCATTCTTTTACATCAGCAGTATGAGTCATGATGCATCAATCCCCACATCCTCTAGAATTCTAAATAACACAACATGTTTTTAACCCTGAAACAAATACTTAGAGCAGGGGGAAGTATGCTAGCTTCTTGCCGTAGAAAAGAGCAAGAGTCCAGTTGCACCCTAAACACTAACAATATTTGTGGTAGGGTATGAGCTTTCGTGAGTCAGATACAGGAGAAGTGAGCAGTGACTCATGAAAGCTCATAAAGAGCTCTTGCTCTTTTCTACTACTATAGACAGACTAACATGGCTACCCATCTTGATCTAGCTTGTTGCCGTTACAGATGCAAAAGAAATGCACAGGCAGACTCATGGTCCATCTAGTCCAGCATGATGTTACCTCTTAGCACTGGTATGCACTGTTTCTGAATGTGGAGGTTCCCTTTAGTCATCAAGGCTAGCAGCCATTAAATCTGTCTGATTCCCCATTAAAGCCATCTTAAATTGGAGTTTCCTAAAGTAGCAGCAATGGGGCATACAAAAGGGAACCGTGTCTCTCCCACCATGATGCATATGAAACTTCTTGGGCAGTTAAAACCTCAAAATGGTAGGCAGGAGATCTGAAGAAAACCTGCACAGGTGGTCAGTGTATCATTCAAGGGGTTCCATTGTTTGGGTGATTGTCGCCTAGACCTTAGGATATTGGAGTCCAGAGTTTTGGTCACTAAGTTTAATAAGGCATGCTGCTGTTCTCCCTACCACCAGAATATCCAAGTAAGTGAGGGGAAGAAGCTGTTCTGAGCTTGGAGACAGCCACCAGCAAGGGGTGGAGAGTGACGGATACTTGGGCACATGCTAAGAAAGCCTACCCCCACCCCCCACCCCCCGAAGTTGGTGAGTCTTTGTAGATGCACTCTCATTCACTCACCCCAGGGAAGCAGGCACCTCACCAATCATGGCGAGGCCCTGTCCTTTCTTATGCAAAGGTTTGGCCCCCAGAAGCCTCTGTGCAGTTAGAACAGCCCTGTGGGGTACACTGATGCATCGGACGCAGGGCTTTTTTCGTAGAAAAAGCCCAGCAGGAACTCATTACCATAATAAGCCATACCCAACAGCAGAAACTCATTAGCATATTAGGCCACACCCTGGATAGTACAGCTCATTAGCATATTAGGCCACACCTCCATGTTACCAGAAGTGTGGTCATCCAGCCACACCCACCTTTTGCTTCTTATTCTCTTTACCTTGTTTGTTGTCAAAACCCAGGGGATTTTTTGTAGCAGGAACTCCTTTGTATGTTAGGTCACACACCCCTAATGTAGCCAATTCCGATGAGTTTCTGCTGTTGGGTGTGGCCTATTATGCTAATGAGTTCCTGCTGGGTGTGGCCAACTTGGGAGCCAGCCAGAACTCTGTTCCTGTGCGTTCCTGCCCCAAAATAGCCCTGATCGGACGGATGGACAAGCCAAATAGGATGGCCAGCCTCCAGGTGGGGCCTGGAGATCTCCCGCTTTTACAACTGATCTCCAGCTGACAGAGATCAGCTCCCCTGGAGAAAATGGCTGCTTTGAAGGGTGGACTCTAGGACATTGTACCATGCTGAGGCCCCTCTTCCCTCCCCAAACCCCACCCTCTGCCGGATCCACCCCCAAAGTCTCCAGGTATTTTCCAACCCAGACCTGGCAACCCTAAAGCCAATTAAGACCCACAGACGATGCTTCCTTGCCTGCCAGTGTGTCCTAAAGAGGTCTTTACTCTGTCTGCTGCCCCCCAAGTCGTCCACACCAATGTCCCCCTTTATGGCTCCTCCTGGCATTTTAACCCATTGGTCCCCTTGCCAGCCACAGTCTCAGAACCTCCACACAAGGCTTCCCACAGGTGTAGGAAAGAGTAGCCGCCACCACCAATCATACAGCCCAGCCATTCAACCCACTTCTCTTCTTCCCATGCACCCCTTACTCTTTTGTGGGTCAGGAACCAATAAAGAAACATTGGTACTCACATAGATTTGTTGAAATTTCCAACAATGCCTGGCGACTCCCCAGGAGTTGGATAGCGGAAGCATGGATTGTTGGCATTACAGATAATCCCCTGGACCCAGGGCAATGTTCCAGCTGAAGGCATGGCCTTATTTGGAAAGTGACCTGGAACACAAGGACAGAGAGTTTGGACATTGTATTAGGCCACCAGATCATTTCCTCTCCTTTTGAAAGAACCCCCCTCCCCTTGAAAAACCAGCCTCTGTCCACACTGAAGAGAAAATGACTGTGTTGCCTACAAGGAAGTGAGTCTCTGTGGCATCAGCTCTCTTTAGTACATAGCAGTTCTCTTTAGTACATAGCAGGGGTGTCAAACATACATCCTGGGGGCCAGAACCAGCCCATCAAGCTCTTACCCAGCTCACAAGCAACTAGAGTGAGGGAGGGAAGGCAAAGCTATCAAGAAATAGAAAGGAAATAGCTGGGGACAGGACTATGAGGCTGTGGGGGGAATGGGAATAGTGTGGGGGGAATGGCAGCAAAGATGGACAAAGAGGAGGCATGGTGGATTTCGTTCCCCTCCCACCTCTTCCGACTGCAGCTCAGCAAGGATTGGCAAAGCCACTACATGGGGGGGGTGGAGGTGGAGCTGAGCACCCGGCACTACCAGCTCCGTACCAACCAGCTTCATGTTTTTTCAAATGGTGACCATGAGGGGGGTTGATGAGAGCGAGAATGTGGAGCAGTGGCTTGCCAATGAAGGGACGGGGCCAGTGGGGCAGAGAGGAAGGGGAGGGCCAGCAAGTGGATTGGGAAGCAACTGGGCTGTCTAATGTGTCTCTCTCTGAGGGGAAAGACTTCCCGACGTTGGGACGTTGGAAGTGAGTGGAGGAGCAAATAGAAAAAGGGGCGCTGATGTTGCTGCTGCATGTTTGAACAGCAACAAAGCCAGGAAGCAGAGTGAGTGTTGGGGTTGGTGGGGGACGGCACCCTCCCCCCCCTTCTCAGCCCATGAGGGGAAAGGAGTCATAGGAGGACAAAAAGCACCCCCTGGACATATCAGAAACAGCCGTTCTGACAGGCCTTCTCCTCAACCTCGTCACTTCTGTGGGAAACACAGGAGGAATGAGAACCAGGGATAGGAAGATCTAGGAGAGTCAGGTTCAGAAACCCCCTCTTCCCGAGCCAGGACCCTGTCAACTGGGTCACTCGGGGCCAGTCACTCAGCCCGGCCAATCTCACAGGATTGGTGGTGGTGGGGATGGGGTGATAGTGTGCCTTCTCCTCAGAGGTAGGATGGGGAAGGAGAGGAAACAAAGAGGAAGAGACAGATGGTAGCCATGTTCAGCTACTGAGGCTGGGCTAATAGGGCCATGTGCTGAAAAACGACCTTATTTACTTGCAAGGATGATGACCCATCTCCTAAAAGTACTATATATACAAAAAGTAACTAATCTGTATGAAAATGTAAAGTCCCCCCCCCTTTTATGGTATCCCTTAGAAAAGACCTAGTCTTGCATTAAATTAATTTATTGGCGTTTTGGTGGATTCCCCAGTAAATCCATTGCTTTCACAGCTAGGAATCAAGTGTTTATGTTTGCATTTTGAATAAAAAATAATATTGTTAATTGGGTTTGCCTGCGTCCTTTATAAAGTTTATATTTCCAGTACATGGCATTACATTTTATGGCACATATGGCCCAGCCCGACAAAGTGACATTTATGTCAGATCTGGCCTTCACAATAAATGAGTCCGACATCTCTGAGTCATGGAGAATATTTACAGCCAATAAGTACTTGGAAGGAATTATGGGAAACACAGCAGACAAGGCATCCTGGTTTCCTCACACTCAGTTCTCCCCATGAAGAGAAAGTTCAGCAGCTCCTATTGTACATAAACAGGAGTTCTTGTGAGACTTTAAGGAGTAACAAAAATCATATTCCAGGATAAGCTTCAATGGACTAGGATCTGATTTTTGGGTTGTAGTTTATGGAAGCTTATGTTCAAATAACATTTTGGTTAATCTTTAAAGTACCACAGAACTTCCACTGTTGATATAGCAGACTAACATAGCTACCCCTCTATAAGTATACTCCGATATACAAACATCGTGTGGGGGTAGCAGAAAATGAAGCCATGACTGCTTCTACACAGAGAAATAATTCTCCATGTAGTTGTCATTGCTGCTGTGAACACAGAGGCATGCACCACGACAATGGAGCAGCCACATAACAGCTTTCCTCCACCATCCTTGCCTCAGTTCCTCCGTCACTACAGGGCTTTTAAAGAAAATCACTGTAGTATTATAACAATCTATTGTCACAGTCTACTAGAGCAGGGTTTCCCAACCTTTCTGAGCCGGTGGGCACCTTTGGAATTCTGACGTACCTAGCCTAGGGTTGCCAAGTCCATCTTCCACCCCCAGCAGGGGACTTTGGGACCATTCCTGGAGGGGGCGGGGCATCCCCAACGTGAGGACGTCATGTTGGGGACATCCGCCGCCCCCCCGCCCATGCGCCAGATCCCCAGAAACGGCAGTTCCCTGCACTTAAAGGAGCCGGCGTTTCCTTTTTAAATGCAGGAGCTGGCGTTTCCCCTTTAAGAACAGCCATGTTTCCCTTTTAAGAGCACGAAGCTGGCATTTCCCTGCAAGCTTGCGGAGATCAGGCTTGGGAGGAAACACGGGTTCCACCCACTTAAAGGGAGAGAGATGGGTGGCTGTGGGTGTTGGGGGTGGGGCTTCCCCCACCGGCCATCTGGCCGGTGGCGGGTAGAACCCCCCCCAAAACGGGGAACCCCTGGCAAACTGGGGGGTTTGGCAACCCTAGTGCAGCCACAAATGTCTGTCACAAAACAGATGTGGCAGGAGGTGGAGCCAGCCACAAAATGGCTGGCACAGTGAAGATCCTTGTGCTGTGGTGGCAGCACCTGCCAAAGCAATGTTTTTGTTTTTTTTAATCTGCACAGCCAATCAAATTTCTAGTGGCCAATGAGAACCCTTACTGGACAGAAGGCCCTGCCCACTTTCTCAAAACACTTAGCAGGTATCAAGAAAGGTGTTACCTTGGCACCCATGAGCACCACACTGGGGACCCACGTACTAAGGTCCCAGCAAAAAAGGTGGACTACATTTATTTACTTTATTTAAAAGTAAGACTCTAACCCTTTTGTTGCAGAGTTATAAGGGGAAAGATGCAGCCGGCTAGACTTTAAAAAGGAACCCTGTAAATTAGTAAACTGCGACAATAGATTGCTATAATGCAATAGTTATCTTGCAATTCCCAATTTTTTTTAAAAAACAGTGCGTATGGGGGATTCATAATCACAGGGTCTGAGGCTAGGAAAATGGGGCCAATGTGGATAGAACCTGCAAGGATGCACATCTTCACATCCAACCTGCGTCCAAGGGCACTTTGAATCAGATCTCTCCTGAAAGATCAAACCAAACTAAGTTTGTGAAAGATTTCAACAAAACAGGAAAAAACACAGAACCAGGGGTGGTGGAGAGAAAACTACATCAGATGGATGCTCCTGAAAACAGCTCTACATTAAGGAAGCCAAGGCAGAGCAAAACATCTGTGTGGAAACAGCCCTTCAGTCAGGGCTGAACTGGATGTTTCAGCATTTTAAAAGACACAGGGTGGGGGAGAAGGTAAGATCGCCTGCTGCTGGCTAAATTCTCTAAAATGTTGTTGGTAGCCATGGATTGGCCCCGTGGCCACCATCACATCTAGTCTGGCCCTCAGACAAGCAGACTCAGTTTCAAATACCTTTAGAAAGAGAGATCACTGTTCATGATCACTCATTCCATTTTTTGTCTCCAATAAAACTGATTTTGCAGGATTTTACTTTCCCCCCAAAAAACTTACACAGCCTGTTTTGACCAGAGTCAACAGTAGGACAAAGGCATATTACTTGGCCCTCTTCTAGTCTTGTTTATGTGTTTTTAATTGAATAATCTGATCATTTTAATTGTGTTTTAATTGCTTAAATGTTTTAACATTTCTTTAATGTTTGCTGCCTTGTGGACCCTGAGCATAAAAATGCTTTAAATAAAATAAAATATGGATGCGTGCCCTGAGAAGCAAAAGCCACAATGAGTTACTCTAAACTGTCAATAAAAAATGTACGTCTCGAGCTCAAGACTCACCCCAGAATACAGAAATATTCAGGGCTGCTTCCACTTGTTTAACACGATAATAAATTGCTACTGCCAGTGAGTGGAGGTATTCAAAATTCCAGAAAGGCATAAACAGAGCTCCACTGTTTTCTTTTGAGAAAAGATTCAATGAGTGTGTTAACTTTTCAGAACTCTGGTTTAACTGAATCACAGTGTTATATCATTCTAAGCCCATAAACTTTATTGGACTTAGAAGGACATAACTTTGCATAGGACTGCAGTGTCCACTACATATTTTAAATGACCGGTGTTTTAAAACATACAACCCTGCTACTTGGCTGCTTCAACGGTACTGAGGAAGCCGTCCACAGGACATGTCCTAACACCAAAGAGCATCAGCACAGAAGATAAGATGGCTCTCTGTGCAATCCTGAACAGAGCTGTATCATTCTAAGAGTATTGGAGTAAATGAGTCTAGAAGGGCATAACTCGGTTTACGATTGCATTGTTTGTCGCCTGAAGGCATAAACAGGACTGTTACAAGGGTCACTGTGATCCACATGCAAGCTTTATCTCCAGTGCCCCCGCACAAAGAAAGAAAGCATATAAGGTACACCCATGTGTACTTGCAAACAGGCAGAATGAACTGTGCCAGGTTCATTTTTAAAAAAAGGATCCAGTTACTTTTTCTAAGAAGGGCAAATTTAATTCTTCTAATATTATTAGTATTATGATTATCATGAATGAAGTATTTAATAGTAATAAATAATAATAATAACATCTTCTCATTTACACAATGCCTTTGTAAGTACAAAGCACATTGAATGCATTATTGAGGGAATGCTTAGAAAACCCATACAACGGTTAGTATGGTTAGCATTATTCCCCCCCCCCCCCAATTTTTTTTTGCAACTTCTTGATTGACAACTTGGACTCTAAGCTACCATGCTGTACTGGATTTCTTCTGCTATTAGATGGAAGGAAGGGAAGATATTAGGTGTGATTTAAATGTGACACTGGCAGGATAGAAGGGCTCAGACATATGACTTTGTGCACACCCATCATTCAAAGTGTAGCTGTCAGCTGCTATGCATGCAACATTAGATCTATAGGCTGGGCAAGTGTGTTTGCACCAGCATGCTACCACTGAATTTAGGGCACAATTACACACATGGTAGGCCAGGTAAGTTTTTTTCATCCCATTAGGGTCACCTTTAAATCAGGCCTTTAAATCAATTAAACAGAATGAAAATTCATTAGTTATCATTCAGTTATTTTCCGAAAGGTCTCAGAAAATGAGAAACACAAGTCAAATGGAGAAGGGGGAAAAATCGCCTAAGAGAAACAGCAGATTCAGAATGGCCACAAGACAGGTATTGGATTTTAAACCCCCTCACAATGAAATGCCATGAAGAGTTACTCCAGTCTGGACTAACTGCATACTTACATTCATGTTGTTCGTGGGGTGGAAAAGACAGCCGCACAGATGATAGTATAAAGAAGACAAACAGGGGCCAGGCAATTTCAATCAGCAGCTGGAACTGAAAGGGGGGGGGGGAGAAACAAGTATTGAGTATCCAGAGATGCTCCCCCTGAGAAACTGAGAGCAATGAGGTGGGGTCAAACATCATCAAATTTCTATATGAAATGGCCTCCTCTCCCAGTGTTTCTATTTCCAAACAGCTCAGCCCTCAAATTGTCGCTCAGTGCTTGATCAAAACTTGTTAACAGCCCTCTGAAGTGTGTCCCACTTCTTTGTAACAGATTGTAGTTCATATATATCAGGTAAAAAGGTAAAGGTTCCCTTGCTCGAAAGCCAGTCGAATCCGACTCTAGGGTTGCGGTGCTCATCTCCGTTTCAAAGCCGAAGAGCCAGCGCTGTCCGAAGACGTTTCCGTGGTCATGTGGCCGGCATGACTAAACACCAAGGCGCACGGAACGCTGTTACCTTCCCACCGAAGTGGTACCTATTTATCTACTTGCAATTTCTTGCTTTCGAACTGCTAGGTTGGCAGGAGCTGGAACTAGAGACAGGAGCTCACCCTGCCTTGCGGCACCCGGGTCTTGAACCGCTGAACTACTGACCTTCCACAGCCTGCAGTTCAGCGTCTTAACCACTTGAGCCACCGCAGCTCCTATATATCAGGTAGTATCTACCTAATCCAACAGTGCCCCAAACGTTTTGAGCCTGTGGGCGGCTTTGGAATTCTGACACAGGTTGGTGGACGCAGCCACGACTTGGCCACCACTCCCACCTGGCCCCCAACCACTTCCTAAATCACTTGGTAGGTGCCAGGAAGGGTGGTGGTGGGCTCCGTGACACACACAGACTCCACACTGGGAAACCCCAGCCTCACATGCTTACGAGCATTGTAGGAGAAAACGGCAGTGTGTCTTGAGACTCCTTATTCATCATATTACATAGGACTTTTCCCCCCTGTGGATGTATAGTTTGTTAAAAAAATTTTTTACAAACATCCAGGGCTTAAGGACTATATCAAATGGACTCCGTTCATCCAGAACGACTTCGTACGCTCATCCGTTCCTGCCAACTGTTTTTATATAGCCAAACACACACACGCATACATGTGTTTTGAATTTCAGCGCAAGCAATGCTGTTCAGTACCTAAGTACAACATCAACACTAGGATCTAAAGTTAGATTACTGACATTTAACATCGGGCCAAGAAATAAGGGCTGGGGGTGTTACTGTAGCTTAGGTCCATTCGAACTGTAAATATGTCCCCCCCACCCACCCCTGAGGACTGTACTGAGAGTTGCCACAGGAACCAAGGCTTGATCTGAAGTTGCATAATGTCGCAATTCAGCTGAAGCTGAATCCTGGGGCTGGTCAGTGCTTAGATGGGAAACCCTCTGGAACCCTATGTATGCCTTCATGGCGTGAAGGCAAAATGTCATTCAGGGCTCTTTTTGTAGCAGGAACTCCTTTGCATATTAGGCCACACACACCCCCAATGTGGCCAATCCTTCAAGAGCTTACAGAGCTCTTCTTACAGGAGCTACTGTAAGACCCTCCAAAGTAGCCATTTTCTCCAGGGGAGCTGATCTCTGTTGTCTGGAAATCAGTTATAATTCCCAGGAGACCATCAGGCCCAACCTGGAGGTTGGCAACCCTGCCTGGGAGGTTATTTTCCCCTGCTGGGAAACTTACATGTACTGTGATGAGCTACAGGTACATTTCTCCAAGAGGAAAATAGTGACTTCCTAGGGCTGTGACAGGTCAGGAAAATGGCACCGGGGGAGGGGAAGAGACCCTTCACATGTGCCATTGTCCTGATCTAGAAGAAGAAGAAGAAGAAGAGATTGGATTTATACCCCGCCCTTCACTTGGAGTCTCAGAGCGGCTTACAAACAGGTTGGCAACCCTGCCTGGGAGGTTATTTTCCCCTGCTGGGAAACTTACAAGTACTGTGATGAGCTACAGGTACATTTCCCCAAGAGGGAAATAGTGACTTCCTAGGTCTGTGACAGGTCAAGAAAATGGCACCAGGGGAGGGGAAGAGACCCTTCACTTGTGCCATTGTCCTGATCTAAATCAAGCTTGCCCACCCCTAGGAAGCATGGAACTCCTAGTGTGCAAGTTGACCTGAAATCCTCCTGATGGCTCCAAGAACACTGTAGTATTCAAATCAGGCCTCAGTTCAAATGCCACCTCAACCACACACACAGTAGGGAGCAATAGGCAAGAAGTGTTTTTCACCCTCAGCTCTATTCTACTACTGCCACCAGCTCTCCGAATTCGAATTATGATGGTAATAATGATCTACCTTGCAGGGTGGTTATAAGAATGATTGAATTACTGCACGTAAGAGACCAGAAATGTACTATCTAGACATCTGAAGTGATATTATCCCACAGCTTTTGCTGATAGCCTTTACTGTTGCAACCGAGTGCTGATCAACCGAAGGGCTTAATAAAAACGCTCGCTTTGAGTTGACAGCTTTGTGTGCATGCATGTGCATTGTGCAAGCTTCTTTTCCCATAAAAGCTCCTCCAGTAAACAGCTCGGAGTGCATTTCCCATCTCTGCCAGTTTCAAGAAATGCAGCTGCTGAAATTAGCATTGCGAAAACCGGGTTCAAAGCTCAGCTTGACGTGTGCGGCTGAAGATTTACACTGGTGCTGCTGGAAGACATCCAGGACAAAGTATACCCTGGCTGAACCCTGAGTGCAGGGGGGGAGGGAGGTCAGACCTGAACAAACATGCACACACTCATTCCCTTATTCAGCAGCTCTTGCTATTCCTTTATCTCTTTGAAAATAGCCAGTTATCTAAGAATCTGCTGCAAGCCATGCAGCAGTCTGCTTTGGTGGGCGGCACAACATCAGTCCACCAGCAAACCTCGGGCATATTTAGGGAGGGCGCACATACAGGTTCCACTTCCTCCAACCACTAGAAAACCCACCAAAAATAGAACCCACGCAAATCACGTGTTGTTGTCTTGAAGCCCCCTCTCTATGCAAGGGTGGCACTGTCTTTGCATTTTGCCTACTCAAAGATGGCACAAGGTGTATCTGTTGCCATTACCTATGAGGGATTTTCTAGCCGCTGGAGACTAGCGGAAGGAAACCAATGATAGAGTGCCACCAGCAGCATGGTTGGATCATGAGGTTGTCATAGTGTTAATTTCTGCCCAGTCCTGACCCATAGAACAGTATATTTCTTGCTCCTGAGGAGAAACAACCTTATTATGAGGTGTGAAGTTTCTCAAATGTATATAAAACGTGTAAATAACAGTTCTATATGCAAAGGCTGGTACTCAAGAATTGGAATGGGTGAAGTTATGAGGCAAAAGTGATGAGATTTTACCTCTAGTGTGTATTAAGAAGACTGTGTACAGCACTCTCCCAAGCAGACGCCAACTCTAGGTTCAGAAATACCTTAGAGATTTTGATGGCGGAGCCTGGGACGGTGGGCTTTAGGGAGGGGAGGGGGCTCAGTAGGGTACATTGCCATACAGTTCACCTTCCAAAGCAGCCGTTTTCTCCGGAAGAAGTGGAATAAATATTTCATATAAATAAATAATAAATTAGCTCTCTACGTTGCCTAGAGATCAGTTGTGATTCCAAGGGATCTTCAGCTCCCCTCTGAAGCCTGGCAACCCTGCTCTCTCAGTATGTGATGTAGGAGTGACAAAGGCAGAACTGAAAAGGGCGACTATAACGTCTCACTGACACTTGTCAGCAAAGGGGTTCCTCATGATCTAGCGCTGTTTCCTTCATCTTTGAAACACTGGTGAACGCTCTGTGGAGAAGAGTACTAATGAAGTCTACAGGGAAAGTCCTTGGCAGAGGGAGGAGAATATTTGTGCAAATTGTGCTTTCCCACAGCAGGAAATTTGTATCCTCATCTATTTATATACATGCCAGGAAAACTGTATGTTCTTATGCGAGAAGCTGTTCAGAAGGGTGTGGGTGGGTCATCGGAGTCAAAAGTATGGGTTACCACAATCCAAGAGGCCTTTCCTCCTGACCACAGCAAGTGTGGTAAATGATCTATGAAACTGTCAAATGAATGGGGATGCATGGGGTAATGGACGGAAGAGCCCAGAGCGATTATCTCTGTTTCCACACCCCCATCACGTGAATCACTTTAGATTGAAACAAAAGGAAGATACCAAAACAAGACTCAGAACAGAACTGGGTGCAGTACATTGCCACCCTAAGAAGAGGTAGGATGGCACCAGTTAATCGCCTTGATGTGGTCTGACTTATGTCAGCACCATTATGCACGTTTTGCACTAGAATGAGAAGTTCCACAGAGTTAACTGTGTTCCTAGATGTAGGGATACCAAGTCTGGCTTTGGGAATTCCTGGAGATTTGGAGGAGCATCCAGGAGAGGGCAGGGCTTGGAGAGGGGTGGGGCCTCAGTGGGCTGTAATGCCATAGAGTCCACCCTCCAGACAAGCTATTTCCACCAGTGGAATTGATCTCTATAGCCTGAAGATCAGTAATTCCTGGGGGATTCCAGGCCCCACCTGGAGGATGGCAAACCTACCCAGAAGGGATCTGCACATTGTTGTTGGATATTGGGCTATTGTGATCATTCACCTCCTGCATTTTCTTGTCCAGACAGGAAAAGCCAAGTGGTGAATTTAGTTTCAGGTGAGTAGCTGGGTAGCTGTTTTAGGCTGTAGGAATCAGAGAACAAAATCTGAGTCCAGTAGCAACTTTTAAAGACCAACAGAATTTCCCGGGGTATAAGCTTTCATGGTTCAAAACTAATTTCATCAGCTTGTACCTTGGGAAGTTTTGTTGATCTTTACGGTGCAACTCGATCCAAATGTAGTTCCAAGGAGTGAACGACTGCAATAGCCTACGATCCAACAAAGCAAGGATCTCCAATATGTCTGAAACAACACTGAGTCTTATCACATCTTAATCATTAACAAATTTACAGTGGCATAAGATTCCATGGACTAGAACCCTCTCTATCAGATGTATGAAGTTGACAGCCTGAATAGGAAGGTGTATGTGCACATGGGCATAAAGAGGAGAGAGAATATAAAAAGCTGGGACACTGCTATGCAGAATCCAAAGGTATAAAAGATAAAAACAGGGTGGTCTGTTCTTAACAG